TCATAACATTGCACGTGACCTTGAAGCTCTCTCTAATCAAACTTCATACTCAACTACTTTTCAGAGACAACAATCTCTTCGAAGATCACGGCGTTATAATGCCTCAACACGAGAAGCTTTACAGACAAGAGATTTATTTTTAAATTTTTTTTAAAGACAACTAGTATGAATTATTAGATTTCACCTTTATTACGAGTATTAGTTAAATTTTCAATTATTATGTACTTACTAGTGCACCCAAGCCCATCAGCAACACTCTTCCAAGCTCTCCTTGCCAATAAACGATTTCTATAATCTTTATGTTTTTTATTCCACAATAGTTTTTGTTCTCGCACTGCATTAATAAGGAGTTCTAGATCCATGTTTTTATAAAACTTAAACACGACTATTTGCTTTATCACCTCACTTCTTCACTCACTCTGTGTGGTGTCCAGCGAATTGTCAATACTGACAGTTTTGACAGTTCGTTGGTCGTGTCTTGTCGCGAATAAAACAAGTTCGCACTTCGTCGCGTCTTGTCGTAGACTGATTAACCCGAAAACGTAGGCCACACACAAATACAACCATTTACTTGATATTTTCGCGTCGCGTCGCGTCGTGTCGCGTTGTCGCGTTTGTCGCTCACCTAGGACAACGGGTTAGTGAAATAAACTCCTGGACATAATTAACGCATCACTCATATTTTTCTCAATATTCTTTATTTATTGATAATTTACTGTAAGGCAAGTTGCCTATTGACCTTCTTTGACAGTGACAGTTGTTATGTAAGCTAATAATAGTCTTGTTTTAACAATAATTTGTATTAAACTTCGTTTTAGACTAAAAGTGAGTTAAACTTTTCATAAAAAGTGCCGATTAAAGCAAAGTGCTTGTGAGAAACAAGCTTTATTGTGATATTTTTCATTACATGCATGTTTGGAAGTTCATTTGCATAAAAATCAAATAAAAAAAATAAACCGCCAAAGAAATTTGTCAGTGGAGGAGGCAGTGCGAACATCGACTCTCCTAGATGAAGGATATACAATACGATACGTTGCAGGTTTGTTAGGAAGACATCATTCCAGCATCAGTCGCAAGGTCAGGCGATATAATGAAACAGGGTCGTACCATCGAAGACCAGTGCAAGGGCGAAAACGTTGCACTAATCAAATTGATGATCGTTTTTTGAGACAACGTGCTCTCAGAGATAGGAGAGTCACCAGCAATTTGCTAAAAAATGAGCTAGCAGATGTTCGAAATGTCGTGATATTGTCTCGAACAGTTAGAAGACATTTACATGAAGCAGAATTGAGCAACAGGAAACCGGCCAAAAAACCCTTTCTTACCAGAGAACACAGGATTCAGTGATCTAATTTTGCAAGATTGCATCAAAATTGGTCCATCGATGATTGGAAACGAGTTTTTTTCTACGATGAGACTATAGTAAGCCTAAAAGCTCCAGATGGTCGTGAGCGTGTCTGGCGAAGGCGAGGAGAAAGGTTTGCCAGCTTCAATATCTCTCCTAAAGTACCTTTTGGTGGTAGCTCTAAAATGTTTTAGGGGGAACTTGTTCGAACATAAGTACGAGGTCTATAAATGCCCATTATTACTTAGACAACATTATTGTCGAACATGTAAATGTGTTTTGCTCCATTTCTTGGACCTAATTTTTTATTCATGCAAGACAACGCTCGTCATCATATGGCTCGACAGGTTATTGGCTACCTAAATGATGTTGATATTCCATAAAAAGAGTGTCCACCTAACAGTCCGGACATGAATCCTATAGAGCATCTATGGGAATATTTAAAAAAAGATTCGAAGTCGTAAACCCCATATTGCCAATCACAACAGCCTCATTGAGGCTGTTATTGAAGAATATCGGCAGCTTTTGTTAAACATTTGATATCAAGCATGCCTCGACGCATAAATGCAGTCATGAGAAGTAGAGGAGGGCCTACACGGTATTAGTGTTGACCCAGATGCATTTTATTGTGTTACTTTACTGATTTTTTTCTTTTTGCAATTTTGAGTTATGCTAGGTTATTTACGCATTTCCGACAAAAACAAATTTTTAAAGAAATAATAAGGCACATTAAAGTCATGATAAAGTCATGTTGGATTTATTTGTACGTGTTTATTATTATTTCAATGTAACTTAGATTTATTTTGTGTTCATATTGTAAATATTTAGGCTAATTAAAGTGGTGCGTTAATTTTGTCCAGGAGTTTATGAAAATTATTATAATTATATCTATCGGCACTGAATAAATTACAATCAGAATGTACACTCTCGGATGCCGCCTTTAAAGTGTGTTAGCTTGCAATTAATTATAAGAGTAAATGAAGTTGGTAGAGTGGTAGTTGGATAACTGAAGATCTAGATCCAGACATAGAGATACGAAGCAGGATTGAGCAAGCCAGAACAACATTTACTAATATGAGAACCTTGCTAAACAATAGCAGCCTTAACTTAACGCTTCGATATCGCTTTGTAAAATGTTACATTTACTCCATGGTATAGAAACGTGGACCATAAAGGCCAATGTGATGAACCGATTGAAGGCCAATGAAATGTGGATATATAGAAGACTACTTAAAATTCTCTAGATAGATCACACAACAAATGTCGAAGTATTAAATCGAATAGGCAAAGAATGAGAATTGCTGCCAATAATAAAAAGAAGAAAAACTGCTTATCGTCATATATTTCGAAATTCCAAGTACCAGTTCTTAAAGCATATTATGGAAGGGAAGATAGAAGTAAAACGGGGTAGCAGAAGAAAGAAATACTCATGGCTTAAGAACATAAGGAATTGGACAAACCTCGATGCCCATGCACTCTTTAGAGCCAACAATATCGAGAGGAGTATGCCAGAACTGTCGCCAACATCCACTAATTGAATAGGACATCATGAGAAGAAGTTGCATGCAATCGCCATATTTTAAACGAAAACACAGGCTCGGATTGAGGAATTTGTGACAAGCTACGACAGAACCGTAATTTAAATTTTTAGAGATAGAAATTTAGTAAATTTGAAATAATGTAATCTATTCTTCAGCTAAAAGTACGATATAAAATATTGCATATTATGTGGATTGTTGCCGTTAATAAATTAAACCGGGTAAATTTGTCTATTTCTTTTTCTTCTTCTTCTTCTTCTTTCTCTTTATAAGCAATTTTGCTTGTTCATTGGCGGATTAATACCTTTATGGAAGGTTGTCACTCTATCTTTTGCGCGGTCGTCCGATATTTCTTTTGCCGATTAGTGAATTATCTCTTGCTATTTTAACGACACAGATCTCCTCCATTCTGCTTATGTGACTGTTTGTGTCCATTTATTTATAAGTAACTGTATGTTACATTTATTTCTATTCTTATCTCCACTTACACTCACATGTAACAATATCGTTATTGGTTCTGTGATTGCTGCTCCACAATATTTAAGTAATTCGTTTGATATCCCATCTTTTCCTGTTGCTTTTCTATTCTTCAGCTTTTCAAGAATTTTCCGAACTTCCTGAACATTTCTATTGAGTTCTTCATTTGTGGTAATTTCTGGTGTTTCCCGTTCTAGCGTTGTTTGTTCTTCTTCTGCATACAGCTATTTTAGGTAGTCAATCCACGTATCCTTTTCTATGCGTTTTGGTTCTATTAGTGCCTAAACCTCTGTTCTTTGACCTCTTATGAGCGCCATATTTCCTTTTAGAGACTGTAAAAATCATGTTCCATTTCTTTCGAAAAGCGTTCCCAGTGGTGATGTTCTTTTATTTTTCTTACAAGTGTATGTGTTTCGTTTCTAATTGTCTTGTAATTATGGTATGCCCTCGTGTATTTTAGTTGATGTATTTCAGATAAGCTTTTTTCTTTTCTTTGCATTTTTCCTTCACTTCTAATTTATTGTAAATTCCTATTGCAAATTATCCTACTGATATATTTATTTTATTTAATATTTCGTTAACTATTAACCTTGTTAAAGACAGTTTATACCAAAATTCAGAAGTATTGATGTTCGTGTCTAATTTTCTTTCGTTGCCTGGAGTAATTGCGGTAAATCTGAACTATGTAGTTGATTTGTAAAATGCGATTATCTCGAAAACTGTTGAGTTTTGAAGTTATTAACAAGATATACCTTTTTTTTGTTAAAATAATGTATCTTTAATATTTTTTATTACAATCACCGGTAACTAAAAGAGCAAAAAAGTAAGTGCAAATGTATACCACAGATGTAGCATTTGTGGCGCCATCTATCAGCTACATTCAAGTAATAGTACTCAGTTATGAATTTTGATACATACATGTTCACAAACATGAAAGTTACGTGAAAATTAAAATTTTAAATTTCCACTTTAACACCCTGTATCTTTCTTAATATCAACATTTTATTAAAGCAATTTGGCTTAAATCGTAATAATTTAAAGTATAGAATCTACGGTTTCTTTTTGTATAATTACTTAAGGACCACCCTGTATAGTTATGTATCCAGAAATGTAAAAAAATCCTTGTAATACCGAGCGGTGCTAATAAACACATAGGTTGATGCGCCCTAAATTTAAATAAAAAAAAATCACACTTCTTCTTACAGCAAATTGTATCTGTCCTCTTACTTGAAATAAAGTAAAATTATTATCTTTATTTTTAAGAAAGAGAAATTAAAATCTTTTATTTTTAAGAACTGTGCCATTTATATTTTTGTTATATAATGTACCAACATTGTTGTTATTCTCCGTACTCTCGACCGATACAAATTATAACTGATACAATCAATTTTATTTATATATTAATTTCTATTTAACTAAGATAAAAGGATATTTACACTTCTTTAGAATTCTAATACCTTAAGTGTTGATCTTCCACAATCAATAAATAATTTATTCAGTATTATCTCAAAAGATAAACACCGATTGAAGAACATTTTGTTGTAATTTGAATATCTTCATTGTCAATGGTCCATAAAGTACAAGTGTTCGTCTTCTTTATTATCTTATACATACTAGGAAATAGCAACCTAAATATTATAAAAAGAAATCTTACTGAAGTATTTAGGTATTCTCCAAGATGTTTCTATCAAAAGTGGTATTGTTCTTGGCAGCTGCAGTGTGCGTGTCTTGCAATGGGCAGGTAAAATATAATTCAATGTTTTCAATCTTATTTTGGATGTTCGTATGTATATAAATATTTAAATATATATGCTTTTTGTGATTTTCTGGGTTTAACTCCGCATTAAAAAAAAACCATTATTTTCATGACGTTTTCGCAAGGTCGTACTTACCTTTCCAGTTAGGCATAGAGATAGTAAACTCGGCTCTCTGCAAGCAATCAAGCAATTTAATTAAACCCAGCCTGTGGGAAATGTTCACCCCTAAGAATTACGTTCGGGTGTAGCAATTCATTGGAGCGAGGTGTATTAACTCGAGTAAAAGCAGGAGTCACTTCATCGCGCTCCAATGCTACAGTGCTCTTTTTCTCCTATAGCACTCTGATGCGCGATAGAGGCACAACTATCAGCCAAAGTGAAGGTCCTGGCTAATAGAACCCCAACATGGTTTTCTAACCGATTTCAAAACTCAGGACAGCGCATTGTCGCTATATTCCTAAACATTCTATATGATTCCTATATTCCTTCCGCGAACTAAAATTGCTTACTTGGGATTCAAGCCTCCGCTCTGAGCTAAGCTCAGTTTGGCGACTTGGTGCTCAAGGGGTTGGGCCCTACATGACCGGGTTTTTAATGGTTTTTGATAATATTTTTTTTTGGCCTGCGCCGGTTTTTGTTATTAGTTTTTTTATTTATTTTTTTTTTTTTTTAGTGGTCAAAGCCGTTTTTTGTTGATTTTTGGATTTTTTTTGTAGGATGCCTGAAACATAAAATCAGAATTAGTGCATATTAATATAATAAATTATCTTCTTAAAATTAACTGGGTCCACGCTGTACGTTGCGATTGGCCACGAGTGCTATGAGCTACGAACTATCTTCATTGTGCATTGCTGTTGTTCTTTGAAGTGTTTTTTCTCTGGTGTTTTGTTTTCTCTCTGGTATGATTGTTGATTTTCTCTCTGGTGTGATTGTTGATTTTCTCTCTAGTATTATGATTTTATTCTACTATTTGTTGTTTGTTTTGTTGTGCTTCCATCTGTGGAAAACGTCGTACCTCATTATCTTTCACAATATGTGGCTGGGGTAGTTCTCTATCTCCGCGAACTTTGTCCTAACTTTTTCTTTCATTGTGTCAGTCACTCTGATTTGTTGTAGTTCTCTAAAAAGGAATCTTTCTGCTACGTATCTCGGTACGTTGACTGCTTCCCTTAGACTGTTATGTACCGCTTGTATTTTCTTTTTTGATGTATTGCATATGTGTCCCCATGCGAGAGATGCATATGTTAGTATAGGAAGAATTATACTATTTATTAATCTTATTTTTGTTTTCAGTCTAAGTTTGCTTTTTCTACCTGCTAGACCTCTTATTATGCTCTTGATATGTTGGCTTTTTGTACTGTAGCTTCTACATGTTTTAAACGTTAAGCCTTTGCCCATGATTACTCCGAGTTATTTCGCTTCGCTTTTTCACTCGAAGTTGTTTTGCACAGTCACTTGTTCTTCTGGTTGTTGGTGCCTCTTTTTAAAAAGTACAGCCTGTATATTTTCGGAGTTTATAGGGATTCTCCATTTTAAACTCCATTCTTCTATGTCGTCTAGCACTGTTTGTAAGTTATTTACCGCTATGTCTACATTTCTGTGTTTGGCCGCTATCGCTGTGTCGTCGGCATAGAGGCTTAGTAGTGTACCTGGTATTCTAGATATATCTACTGTGTATATCGTGTACAGTTGAGGTGACAGTACCGCTCCCTGTGGCACTCCAGCCTCCGGGTTCCTAGTTCAGATAAGACCTGTTCTATCCGTACTCTGAAACTACGATTGCTTAAGTACGAAGAGATTAGTCTTGTCATTGCTTGTCCATTGCGCTGTAACCGTATCTTCTCATTTTGTAGATCAGTCCTTTATACCAGACTCTGTCGAAAGCTTTGCTTACATCTAGAAAGGCAGATCCTGTAAATTGTTTATCATTAAATCTAGCTTCTATATACTCTGTTAATCTGAGTACTTGTAGCTCACTGGAGTGTTCTGATCTAAAACCGAATTGGGCTTCGGGTATTATATCTTTTTGTTTCAGCTTGATGTCTTCTGAGTATTATTCTCTCTACAATCTTGCTGATTGCAGGTAGTAAGCTTATTAGCCTGTAGTTTGGCGGGAATGTGCTGTCTTTCCGGGCTTTGGTAACATGACATTGGCCTCTTTCCATCTGTTGGGAATTTCTTGAATCTTAGCATCGCGTTGATTATATCTGTTAGATAAACTATGGCTCCCGCTGGTAAGTATTTTAGAGCCCTGTTCGTTATTTGATCGGGACCATGTGCTTTTTTCGGCGAGCTGTTTTTAATTAGCTCGTTTAACTCCTCCAGTGATGTAGGAGGGATGATTTTGTTCGGGCTTTCGGGTTTTTCTCTGTGTCTTTCGACTTCTTCTATGAAGTCGGTGTTCTCGTCTGGGTGGTAATTTAATATACACTCCCTCTCGAGAGTACTCCTCATTACCTCTGCTTTTTTCTCTGTGGTGTAGACTATTCCGTTATCTCCATGTAATGGAGGGATTGGCTTTGTGTCGTTTCTCAGTATTCTCTGAAGCCTCCAAATATTCTGCATATTTGGTCCTTGCTCCTCCATGTCTCTTATGTGGACTTGACTGTCTGGGTCAAATCGGTTACTTATATAATTAATCTTGAGGCGATTTTCTTTAACGATCATCTCGTGCATCCTATATGATTATGATTATCCGGTGCATCCTGCTAGATAACAAGCGAGACTCTGTTGTCCGAGAATTTGCGGGTATAAGCAATCCCCCACTTACTGACCAACGGCTTCGAACTCATGAGTTGGTAAGCGATAGGGCACGCTGTTGTCTTAAAATTGAGAAATTGGTTCCGAAGGCGAAGGTATAATAAGTTGATAAACGGCATATAGATGCAGAAAGTAAAGGAGAACTACTGCATTAAAGGCCTTTTAACTATCATGGATATAAATAATTGGAGTCAACACATTAATTATCGTGGATCTCGGAACCCAAGATCAAGACCGCAGAGACTCTCAGGTTGTTAATATGCTAAATTCTTGCAGAATAGCTACATGGAACGTCAGGGTCAGTAGTCCGAATAAAATTTAATTTAAAGTTGTTCATTACCAACGTAATTCAGGTCTATGCCCAACATCCTCCAGTCAAAAAGATAATTTAGGAAGTATTTTAGAAATATCTGACTGATGCTGTAAATATTGTTAGAGTAGCAAAAAATGTTATGGCTTAGAAAACAGTAATGAACTTGGATATTGACCTGGACAATTCTGCCAAGAATACGATGTCATTATATCGAATACTTACTTCAAATTATCAGTGAGAAGACTCTACACCTGTAAGTCAAATGCAGAATCAGATAAGATTTATTCTAAAATAAATCGATTTAAATCAGCTAAAACTTATTCAGGTGCTGAGATCATGTAGTAGCTTTAACCCGATTGAAATTAAAAAAGAGTATTAAAAGTAAGTCTCGTAATTGATATAACCCAACTACAAGACATGAAAGTTAAGGAAACAGTTCAAAGATACCTGAACAATAATTTAGCTTTGGGAAATATTGGTGAAAATGTCGATGAGGGCTTAAATAAAATTGTAGCAACAGTTAAAGAAATCCGTGAAAGGGATTTAAAAGGTAGCTCAGAGCTAAAAAAGAGCCTTGAATGACAGAAAACATATTGGATTTAATGAAATAACGGCGACTAGCAAAAAACAACGAAAAACTTTATAAAAATATGAAAAAAGACAGAAGTTAAATACCAGATACAAAGAGTTAAGATCTAGCCAAACAGTGTCATGAAATTGAAGAAAATAGATACGACACGTTTAATGTGTATAAAAAAAAGCCAAAAAAAAACAGCTGGTATCTTCAATAAGAGACAAACTGCACTGCTTGAACATGATAAAGTAATATTTGAAGTAGAGGACAAACTTAAAGAATGGTAAAATTTACATTACGAACGTATTTGAAGACGATAGGATTCGTTCACCTCCGATATTACTAACTGCGATTGGCCTCTAATAACACGCTCTGAAGTAACAGAAGCCATACAATCATCAAAAAATGGTAAAGCGACAGCGTTTGACAGACAGACCCTTAATACAGCGTTAAGAATAACGGCTTCTTAACATATACCATCGAAAAAGCTCAGAATGCTCAAGAAATAATTAAGAACCTGACAGAAGACGAAAAATCGATTACAAAAGGCATTCTATCATATGTAAAGGGTGTAACAGAGAAAATGGGAAGAGTACTAAGAAAACACAAGAAAAAAACAATATTTAAAACCATCAAAAAAATCTCAACTATTGTACCATACGCCAAAACAAAAATATCGTTAGAAAATTAAGGAGTGTACAAAATTCCATATGGGGACTGTTACCAACCGTACATCGGACAGACCCACCGAAGAATCAACGTTAGAAAAGGAGAACAACTAAATGCCATCAAAAGGAGAGAAAAACGTCGTCTCTTGTACAATATATTTTAAATACAAGACATGCAATAAACCTGAATCAAATGACGAGGCTTTAACATTTAAATTAAAAGAAAACGCAACATCAGAGAATCAATAGAAATAGAAAAAATCTCGAAAGCCTAGACCAAAGGGATTATACTCAAAGGCGTTCAACAACATGAAAAACGGTATGAAAGAAAAAGACAAAAATAAATCAGATCGTAAGATCCCTCCTACACACGGGTGGGGCCAATCACAAGAAGCATTGTTCAAAAATCTCAAGAGAAGCATAAAATTTTGTTTTGTCTCTTTAAAAAACTTTTTTGTTTTATTTTTGAGTTTCAGCTACACACTGATTCTAACTTAAGTTAAACTAATATTTTAATAAATTTATTTTTTACAATGCTGTGTTCTTTACGTGTGAAATTCACTTTATTTTAATTCTTGTTTCAGGAAGCCGATCTGACCCTTACCCTGTTTTATGAAGGATTGTGCCCTGGTTGTCATCAGTTCATCCTAACACAGCTCTATCCTTCATACGAGAAATTGGCAGGTAGCTTAAAATTGGACCTGGTACCCTTTGGATGGAGTGTAAGTGAAAATATTTTTAAAAGAATAGACAAAATGTATCTGGTTCTTTTTATTGTTAGATAAAATTTGTACCAAGAGAACACCGGGATCTCTTGTTTTAGTTAATTTGACTAGCTCGTCCAGGTGTAAGTATGTTCTTGTCTTACATGTTGAATGTCTATGAAAGAATGATGCAGGAAAAAGAATTCTAGACAAGAATGTTTCAGCAAAGAACGTTCCAGGAATTAATGTTTCAGAAAAGGAATTAAGTCCCGAAAATAGCTTAAACACGAAGCAGTCAATTTAGCTTAGTTTAGATGTGATAGAAAGAGCGAGAGAACAATATATATATATATATATATATATATATATAATATATATATATATATATATATATATATGGTTTTAAAGGCGACAGGGTAATTTGTTTCGCCAAGTATTAGACAAGACTAAGAAAAAAGAACCAATTTAGCACTATGAGCATGTCTATAGAACTTGGTTGATAAAATGTATGATCTGGTAGTTTCAGATTACTAATATAAGTATGATCGTTTGCAATAATGCGTCCAATAAGAAAATCAGACCGTCACAATCACACAGTTTAATGATACAGAACGTGGTACCTTAAGTGGTCTTTGAGGAACTCCTTTACTGTCCAAAAGTGTTTGACTTACGGTTTTCTATTTTTATTCTGGTTTTAATATTCTCGTATAGGCTCTTTACTAGAGCTGACAGATGATTAGGAACTCCTGCTAAATTTCTTGTGCAGTTTACATGGTCAAATACCTTCTGGTAATCCAGAAAGCAGAAGATTATAGAAATTAACAGATAATCAGGAACTAGAATAAACTAGAATGCTTCACAAAATTTTCCAGTGTATACATCCAATTGACTTTTGGCAATTAAGTAAGAAAGCAGGTGATCATAAGAATTTTGAACTCTCCAGCTTTTTCAATGACCTGTTGCATATTGAAAATTTGCTTCCTTGTGCCCTAACTCTTAACAAAACCTACTTGTTCTTGTAGTATTTGTCTATCCAGTTATGTCTACATGCGATATTTGAAGATTCTCTTTCTTTCTTCAGTTTCTTCAGTTTGCAAATAGGTCGATGAGAGATGTTCCCAAAATCCGTCGTCATCATACATCCTTTTAAATATGATGGAAAATATAATCCTTGAGACTAAATCATTGTAGACTATTTATATCAATCAATTATTCTATTTACATTAATCACTATAAGTTTATGAATTGTATGAAATACCCGAAAATCAGCCAGAAACCAACATACTCTAAATCGAAGAGATTGCCTCGTATATTTCCAAAGTACAGCGAATTCTTTGTAAACTAGTATGGCTGAAATTTCTGTGATCTTAACAGCACACGTCCGATGAAAAAGGAGCAACATCTATCTCTAGGGGACTATGTAGTGCAATAAATTCACTAAAAGAGATTTAAAATCTCTCAAATCGCTGGTCATGTGTCCACTTATAAATGGCATTGGCAAAGATCTGATCTGGTCTATTTTCTTCTTTAAAAAAACTGACTAAATTTTACTAAAACAAACAAATAATCGCCTTTTTGTCTTCAGTTAATATAGTATGATGAATTAAGACAATTTTTTAAATTCCTGTATTATTTATCTTGCTGTGCTTCGTCTCCGCCTAATTTTACCTTGCTAATGATCCTACGCCGCTCAAAATACGACGGCTGCGTTAGATGAGTCATGTGGGAAGAATGGAAGACGAAAACAAAGTTTTTAAACAAATGCCAGTAGGAAAATGAACAAGGGGAAGACCGAACTGCAGTTTCTTCAACTCAAACTAGAGGATTAGATTAAAGGTAGACGCGGCCACAGAGTACAGAATTTCTGGCTTAAGGACATACAAAATTCAACAGGATTTGGCTCTAAGGAATTGCTAAAGAAGACCCAAAACAAAAAAATGCGAAAAAGGTTGCTAATCTTCGATAAAATAGGACGCTGAAATAATTTATATAAATATTTCAGTTTTCTTTTGTTGACACTTTTAATAATTTCTGGTGATTTACAGGCGTCAAGTACTTCGATCTTGACGACTCTTTACTTCTTCTTCTTAGGGTGCCTCTCCGTTCCGAAAGTTGGCGATCATTCGGGTTATGATGGCTTTGTTGGTTGCTATAAGAAATGGATGTGTTTAGGTATTTCTATACCATACTCTCAGATTACCAAGCCAGGATATCCTTCTTCATCCTGGGGCCCCTTTTCCTTCAATTTTACCTTTCAAAATGCATTGAAGTAGCTCATATCTGCCTTGATTTCTCATTATATGTTCCAAGTACTACAGCTTACAGCCGTTCACGATGTTCACCAAATCCGCAGTTGTGTTCATCCACCGCAGTACTTCTTCATTGATGACTTTGTCTATCCATGGTATCTTCAGGATCCTTCTGTATAGCCATAGCTCAAAAGTCTGAAGTTTTAATAGAGTTTCCGGCTTCAACGTCCACGTTTCTACTCCGTACAGAAGCACTAAGTACACGTAACATTAAAGGAGCCTTATTTTTGTGTCTAGGGTGAGGTTATGGTTCTTGAACACAGAGCTCAAAGTCAAGAATTTACTTTTTGCCTTTCCTATGCGACATCTAATCTCTTGGGTATTGTCCCACGACTCATTGATTATAGTTCCCAAATAGTTGTATAAAGGAAGAATATGAACTTTGGAGACTCAAGATAAATATGTGCAGGACCGAATACTTATGTATTGGACCCGAGGTTGCAAATTTGAACTTAAATTTAGAAGAGACTATTAAAAGTTGTAAGACTTTTAAGTATTTAGGGTCAATGATAAGCCGAGATGGTACTGTTATGAAAGATATAGAAATGAAAATAGCACGGGGAAAACTAGCCACAAGAGCACTTCATGGGGTGATATGGAACAACACTCTAACCAAAGAAAACAAAAAGAGGATCTTTTAAAGCATAGTGATGAATATTACCCTATATGGAGCAGAAGTATCGCCAATGACAACAACAATACGAAATAAAATAAGAACAGTTGAACTGGACTTTATGAGAAGATGTCTACAAATTACAAGAGCGGATAGAATAAGAACGGAGGAAATATGGAACAGAATGGAAGTAGAATGCCCAATTACAAAAAAATTGGAGAGGAAGACCTGCTACAAGATGGGAAACATACGTCAGAAATGCTATGATAGATACTCAGAGAAGGTAACTGGGAGAATAGAGTGCTGTGGAGGAGGAAAACGGCGAACTCATAATGAAAAAAGCCGAAGACGAAGAAGAAGAAGAAGAAGTAGTTGTATTGTGAAACACGTTCAATTCTCATTTGGTTCACATACAGATTTGCTCCAGTTATGTTTTCCTTGCTGATGATTATTAGCTTGGTTTTGCTGGTGTTTATATCCAGTCCACATTTTCTACATGTTTCCAATATTTTGTTCATTAAGTTTTGCAGCCCTTTTATGGTATTATAAAACACTATAGTATAATCTGCATACCGCAGCGGAGGTTATTGAGCTTGACTCCATTTATTGAGATGCCTTTATCAATATCTTTTAGAGCCTCTACAAAAATGTGCTCCGAGTCCAGCTTGAATATCAATAGTGAAATTATGCACCCCTGTTTCACTTTTCTTAAGATTCTGACCTGATCTGCATATTCTCCATCTATTCGGAGCTCCTCTGATTGATTCCAATACAGGTTAGCTATTATTTTTAAGTCTTTTTCGTTAATCCCTGTCCTCTTCAGCACTTCCATCATTTGTTCATGTCTGACTCTATCGAAAGTCTTCTTGTAGTCAATCAGGCATGCAAAAACATTACAGCTGACATCTCGTTATTTTTGAAACAATACCTGCACGCTAAATAAAGCTTCCCTCGTACCAACATCCATCATAAATCAAACTGATTGGGCGCTAATTGTTCCTCGCATTTTCGGTAAATTCTTTTGTGGATGGCTCATTAGGCTGATGGTCCTTTAATCTTCACAAACTTTTGCTCCTTTTTTTTGGACAATGGTACTAACTCCGATTTTAGCCACTCTACTGGTATTTTTCCTGCCTTGTATATTTCATTAAATATTTCAGTTATTTCTTTTATTTGTTTTGCAGTTAATAGCTTCAACAGTTCTGCAGAAATTTCATCAATTTCTGGTGAATTTTCATCCTTCATTTGTCTGACAACTGCCTTTATTTCTTCTGGTAGGATTTCGGGACCTAAATTTTCTTCAATGGTGGGCTCTTGTATTGTTCTAAGGTCATGGAAAAGTTTCTTCAAGTATTCTTCCCATACTTTCTGTTTATCTTCTTTGGTTATGGCAAGATTGCCTTCATCATCTGTTATTCTTCCGCTGTTGCGTTTTCGGAACTTACCAACTATTTCCTTCATACTCCTCTATTTCTTAACATTGTTCCGTTTTTTTTCTCTTTGGCTTTTCTTATGAGAGATCTTATGATGATGGTATGTATTCTCTTATATTCTTTGAGATTTTTTTTGTTTTTTTTTTCTTTGATCCATAAGTTCAAGTATTTCATTGGTCATTTACGATTTCCGTTTCTCATCTTTTTTCAGGTGTTGTTCTTTAATTTCTCTCATTGTTTCTTATATGATGGTTAGACTTTTCTCTATAGTTCCTGTATTTTGGCATTTTAGCACTTTTGTATTGAGGTTTTCACTCACCGTCAGTCGAACATTGGGATCTTTTAGTTTTCTAACATCATACTTATTCATCGACTTACTTGTAACCTTCTTCATTCTGACTTTGAAATTACCTACAACTGGTACATGATCAGAATTTATTTACTTTTTACACTCATTTAATTTCAACTTCCTTATTTTTTAATATCCCTATTTAATTTTTTTTATGCTCTTTTGTGACTGTTCAACTTTTCATTATACATAATAATTTCAAAAATATATAAGATCTTTATCGAATGTTCCTTGTTAATGAACGTTTTACTCAGTTTTTTTCATTTTTGTGTAGCAAAAATGTTTTAATTCGGAATTATATATCTTTGTTTTGGAATAATCATTAGTTCGATTCGCAAGATCTGATAACGATTCAGGTTGTATATATCAGTGTCACCGTAGAATTTAATGTTGTTTACGATTCTTTAATTTACAGTCATTCCATCGCTTAATTCTGATATGGCTTCCGGAAATATTGCCTTATTTTGCACATTAAATAATAGCTATTGTGGAGAATACTACACCGAAAAAACATCTCCCACACAGTCCGTTGGAAAGTTGAGCTTTGATCAATGCTTCTTGAAATATTTAACACTCTCTTTAAACCAGAGATTCTAATAAGCAATTATTTTTGTGTTATAATTTGTTTATTTAAAATCTTACATATGAATAAAGTTTCTACATTTTTGTCAATGATTAAATTATATATCTAGCTAAACTCTATTTCCTATTTGTAGCATTCTTCCCGTAGTGATGATGGAAAAATAACATTTACTTGCCAGCACGGTGACGAAGAATGTTTTATTAACAGAGTCCACGCTTGCGTTCTTGATCAAAATCCATCTTCAGTAGACTACGTTAATTTCATATATCATCATTTGTCTGCCACTGACGAACGCGATCTCAACGAGCAAGAGGTATTAGAGGTGGCTAAAAAAGTAAGTATCTTTTTAGTTGATTATAGAAAAAGTAAATTCGTTGTCTTTAAGGTTGCCATTAGTGGTCTGTATGATCTGTCCCGCTCGCGTGGATGAAAATACGGCCCGGGGTAAGTTACCCTGCCTGTCGTAAGAGGCGACTAATGGGAAGGAATGAAGAGGTAGAAAGCCGTCGTTCGATGTGTCGGGTTTGTAGAAACGTACGTAGGGTGCTTCGGCCTTACGGCTACTGGTATACACTTCTAATATCCGAGACAAGCGTCTCATGGGACAACTCTACTCTCATTTTACAGAACCAACGTGAGGTTGAACGAACTGTGTGCCTCATACACCCTTTCTCCATTAAAGGCGAGGGTTGCGGCACGTACCCACCTAGGGAGATTTAAGAGTGGGAGAGGACAGCTCCTCGACTGCTACCTGTCTACGTGCGAGGTCGAGCCTCGACTTGCCATCACTTTTTTGCCCCGGGGGGATACAGACAGGTATTTGTACCGCAACACAGGTACTATGGGGAGGGTGGAGCCTCGCGATGCTCCTTGCAACGCGCTATCTTCAAATGGTGTCGGACTCGTAGGGGTTAGTGGCTAGCTAAAGGTCGTAGGCCGAAAGGCCAGGCAGACCTCGGTCCCGGCCGGCATATATTGTCGGGAGTACACGAATTTCTTCATGTACCGACATACGAGGTTGTTTTTGGATGTCCAAATGAATGTTCCATTTGATTGAATCTAGTTTTGTCAAAGTGACATTAAGTTTTGATAACGGAAACGTCACAAATACGTTTATAGTAATAATTCTGGTTTTCTCGCTAAAAAACAGAATAAAGAAATTGATATTTCAAATTAGGAAAATGGTAACCTTTACAACTGAACATAAAATTCAAATTATTAAATGACATTATTCTGGAAGTAGTGCCGACGGTATATTCGGTAGATTTTCGTTTTTATTTGAAGGCTCTGTAAAACTACAATTCACAACAATATTTTTAAATTTGAAAAAACTGGTTGTATCAAGAGTTGTAGAAAATTCACGTATAGTGATAAAGATGAAAATCAACCAGATGAAGAAGGGAAACAGCGTGAAGCTGACGTATATAGTCTAGCTGAATTTAGCACCCTAATGTCAAGAGAAACTGATTTAAGTGCTAGAACTGTACGAATTATTTTAAAAAGAAACAAGTACCATTGCTACAAATTAAGAAAACTCAGGAAATTTTCACCGTTGATTATTATGATCGACAGATGGTGTTTTGTGAAGAAAAAACATGATGAAACACACCAATCGTGACGAAGATTTCATGAAAAAAATCTTGCTTACAGATGAATGTTCTTTTTCTTTAAATGGATAACACAATCCATTTTTTACCGTAGGGCAAGGGTCGCCAAATGGCGGACCGCGGTTCGCATCCGGAGCGTGAGCTTGTTTTTTGCGAACCGCCGTTAAATTCAAAATATAGTAATAAAATTATAATCAAATCTAAATATATAAATATCTTTACATTTTTAAAATGCACAGTACTAATACTATATAGAAATACTCGTAATCTAAACAATATTCAAACTAAACGGGTTTCCAAAATTTCAGGTAGTATTTGCTGAAAAATAATCGTTTAGCAAACTACAATAGGGAAGCTTTTAATACAAAATTTTGGGCAACTGAGTACTGAGTTTAGTACTGAGTATCCGAACCGCGGAAGTGTAGTAGGTTTTCGAAACGGCCTCTTAGGGAATATAATTGCTGACCTCTGCCGTAGGCTACTCTACAAAAAATAGGCACATAAGTGTTCCTTACAAAACACAATACCGTCAAAATGTCTACGTCTGGGCTGGTATTTTAGGTGACAACATAATTGGCCCTGTGTTCATTGTTTGCACTTTGTGTGGTCGTGAATAACTAGATCTCCTGAGAAATTGCATAATTCCAGCAGTTCGGGTATTACCTATTACCATGGATCAAATTTGGTTGCAACAAGACGGCTGTCCAGCTTACAATGCACGGGAGGTGTAAACATTTTTCCAATTATGAGATAGAGTTATTAGTACAGAAGGTACTATAAAACTGCCACCTTACTCTTCTGATCTTGCACCCTTAGACTTTTTCGTATGGGGTTATGCGAAGCAACAAATTTACCGACATGAGCATCAACTTGACGAAAATTTAGACGAATTACATCAAAAAGTCTGAAGAATAACAAAGCTCCGGGGGAGGACGGTGTCGTCACGGAGGCGATAAAGATAGGAGGCTCAGTACTGATAGCCAAAATTCAAAAGCTCTTTTTTCTATGCCTATGGAATCAAAATATCCCAACAAAGTGGAATAATTCAATAACTCTACTCTTACACAAGAAGGGAGATATAGCAAACCTGGAAAGATATAGACCAATCAGTCTCCTTAACCATCTTTATAAATTATACACCCAAATAATAACGAACAGATTAGAGACAAAGCTGGATTTTTACCAGCCTCGGGAACAAGCTGGTTTTCGCCCTAATTACGGCACAAACGATCATCTGCAATGTCTAAAAACCCTGGTAGAAAAAACTAACGAATATAACCATCCCTTGGCATTGATATTTGTAGACTTTAAAAAGCCGTTTGATGCAGTGGAACTACCGTCCATCTTAAGAGCACTACAAGATTGCAGGGTCGACCACAGATATTGTAATATAGTCAAAAATATAGGTATGAAAATGCCACAACAACCATAAGTCTACATTCTGCAACTAATAAAATAAAGATAAAAATGGGAGTCAGGCAAGGTGATACCATGTCACCAAAGCTGTTCATTACCGTTCTTGAGTATGCATTTAAAAAACTAACATGGCAAGAGAAAGGAATATCCATCGATGGAGAAAGATTAATCCATCTACGTTTTGCGGACGATATCGTGCGTCAGATAATCTGGGAGAGATCAAAGACATGCTCCAAGAACTGAATGACATACTACAAGAAACTGGGCTGGAGATAAATTTCGAGAAAACCAAAATGATGACCAATATGGTTCCCAGCGAAGAGATACAAAGACAACAAGGTCGAATTAATCGATAAATACACATACTTGGGTCATGAAATTAGAATAACCAGAGACAACCAAACCTGCGAACTAAATAGACGAATCACGTTGGGATGGGCGGCATATGGAAGGATGAGAGACATTTTTAAAAGAAATATCCCAATTCACCTGAAAAGAAAGGCATTTAACCAATGCATCTTACCAGTCTTGACCTATGGAGCAGAGACCCTAACTTTAACGAAAGCTACTGCCGAAAAACTGAGGGTAACACAAAGGCGAATGGAGAGATCAATGCTGGGCCTGACCTTGAAAGATTGCGTGAGAAATGAGGAGATACGCCGACGAACTGACGTAGACGATATTATACTGCGAATTAATAAACAAAAGTGGAGGTGGGCTGGACATGTGGCTAGAATGGAAGACGGAAGATGGACGAAGAGATTATTGGAGTGGAGACCAAGAGCCGACAAGCGAAGTCGAGGCAGACCACCCACCCGATGGACCGACGACCTAAGAAGAATAGAAACAAATTGGATTGCAGCAGCTAAAGATAGAGAGAACTGGAGACGTTTGGAGGAGGCCTATATCCAACAATGGATGTGAAAATGGGGCTGGATGATGATGATGACATCAAAAAGTCATTCAGTCCTTTCAGAGTATAACACTCGAACTGTTGTCGAACACCCGAAGGCAATTATACAATAGATCGGGCTAATGCTTGGCTGAACGTGGTGGAGTTTTTGCTGTTTATTGCACATAATAGGTGAAGTATATTTCAAAAAGACCAAGTATCAAGCGGTATGTGACGATAGTACATTGATAAGAGTAATATAAGCAAATTTTGACTTGCGCATAGAGTAGTTTTGATGGGGCGTAAAGAAAAATGAATAATGTGAAAGTTGCTTTAACAAGTTACATTAACAAAATATTAATTGACTATTTTTAAAGCAAAATAAATCGACTTTTACAATCGTTTTGTATTTATTTATTTTTTTTTTTTTTTTTTTTTTGTAGTGGTTGCCAAGCAGCGTTTCCTGGGACAAAGTTAATAGTTGTTACGAAGGCGAACGTGGAACTGAACTTTTATTAGCATATGAGGATAGACAATCAAAGCTTGATCCCAAATTACCTTGGGTACCAAACATAAGATTTAATGGTGTATATGATTCAGATATCGAAGAACAGGCTTGGTTTAATCTTGTACCTACTGTTTGCAGCTTACTAAAAGAAAATAAACCAGATATTTGTAATGATCAAGTCAAACATTTTCATCCCAAAATGATTAAGAATATTAAAAAATGTTAAATGAAATATTTCTTCCACATAAATAAATTTGTTCACAATATGTAAATAAATAATCTTTTAAATTTTCTTTTGTATCCTTATTAACAGGTTGGTTACAAATATTACTGTGATGATTTTGCGTTGTGATATCATATGTATCACCGGTGATCAACTTTCTTGTAGAGTAGACATCAAACATTACAGCACATGTCACTCTTACTCGATACAAGAGATTTTTATACTCGCTGTGAAAGTAGACGAAATAACAATAGTCAATATATACAAACCTCCAAATGCTGGATGGCCACCAAACGTACTTCCCATATTTTCTCACCCGATAATATACACTAGAGGCTTTAACAGCCACCATACTATATGGGGATATAACCAAGGAAACCAACAAGCAGAACAAATCGCCGAATGGGCCGAGTTTCACCATCTGAGACTTTTATATGATGCAAAACAGAAACCCACCTTTCATTCTGCAAGATGGCAAAGGGGCTACAATCCCGATCTCACATTTATATCTTCCAATGGAACGGGCTCAAAAAATGACTTTAAGAACACCACAAGTGAGGTTCTCGATAAATTTCCCAAATCCCAACATAGACCAATAATTACAACCGTGGGCACCACCATCCCTATTATAAATTCACTCCCCTTGCCAAGATGGAATTTCCGGAAGGCAAGGTAAGAAGAGTTTTAAATTTCAACTTGAAAGTGATATCAAACATATCAAACCCGAGGTTCAAAATTATGAAAGATTCGCATCACTAGCGATTAGATGTGCAAAAAAGCACATTCCACGTGGAGTTACCAAATCCTACATCCCATGTTGGAACGACGAATGTAAAGAACTGCTTGATCAGTATGAGAAATCTGGAGATCCTGAAGTTGATGAACAACTCTTAGAAACCCTTAACTCCGCGAAAACCACAAGGTGGAGAGAAACTTTAGAAAATCTCAATTTCACACACAGCAGCCGCACAGCATGGAACCTTCTAAGGAAGCTAGATTCTGACCCAAACAGCCCTGCAGCAAACTCTACAGTCCCAAAACCGGATAGCCCTCATATAGGCAAACGCATAGCCAACCTTTCAAAACCAGTAATAGAAAAAGATCATAAAAGAGAAGTCCGATCCCAGTTAAAAGAAGCCAAACTTGCTCAACAACAAAGCCTACCGATAATGAAGCTCATCGAACCAGAAGAACTTGAGGAAGCTCTAAAATTAATGAAATGTCGTAAAGCCGCAGAAGTTGACAATATTTATCCTGAATTTATAAAACACATTGGTCCGAATGCCAGAAAGTGGCTTCTTGAATTCTACAATCAAATACTAACTAAGCAGAAATTTCCAAAATCCTTCAAAAAAAGTAAGATTATCGCAATATCTAAACCTGGGAAAGACCCTGTTCTGGGCCCTGGAAATGTATACTTCCTGTTCTCACCTACGGTTCTCAAACTTGGACGTTTACAAAGGAAAACATGAAAAAAATAGCAAAGGTCCAAAGAGCTATGGAAAGGCAAATGCTGAACATCAGACTATCAAATTATAATTATAGTTTCAGAACAATATCAGAAGAAAATAAATACTTGGATCCGCAACAAAACAAAAGTGACCGATGTATCAACGCAGATAGCAAAACTTAACTGAAAGTTCGTTGGACATACCATAAGACAAAAAGACGACAGATGGAATAAGATGATTATACACTGGAGACCACATAGTTACAAACGAAAATGAGAAAGGCCACAAATGACATGGTCAGATGACTTGAAGAAACACGCAGGCCCGAAGTGGATACAAACTGCCTACAATAAAGAGACGTGGAAAAAGGAAGAGAAGGCCTATGTCCAAAATTGAACAGCAAGGGCTGTATAGATAGTGACAGTATGTAAATAATAAGTATTTATTCTTCAAAATACACTGCTCAGTGTTCTACAAATTACGCTTTAAAAGTCGTATCAGTTTTTTTAGGAACATCTGTACCTATATTGTTTTCATCCTCCGTATCTTCTCGATAGATGCAAATTAAAACTGATACCATCAGTTTTATTTTTATGATATTAATAATTTTACTCTAACTAAGATAAAAACATATTCAAGTGTAAATCTTTATAATAAATTAAATGTTGATCCTCCACTATAACTATACAATTTGTTCAGTATTATCTCAAACGATAAAATCACATTGAAGAAGATTTCGTTGAAATTTGAATATCCTCGTTGTCAATCATCTGAGATGTACTCAGTGTTTCTGTGTCCTATTATCTTGGAGATTATATTCTGATCATTATGATATACATCTAATACTAGGAAGAAACAGCACAATTTACTATAAAAGGAAGTCTTCCTATATAGTCTCAAAAGGAGGGAACTGTTTAAAATCTTAACCAAATGTTTCTATCGAAACTGATATTGTTCTTCGAAGCCACAGTGTGCGTGTCAGCCAGTGTACAGGTAAAATGAAGATTGGAAGATTGGAAACACCTCTATAATATTTGAAGTTGGTAACCTATTTTAAACGAAATCACATAAACAATGGGCGATTTTAGTACCAAAATTAGTAAAGGGTATAGTTAAGATCTTGTATATGGTAAAATGGTTTAGGAGGCAGCAATAAACGAGGGAATGGACTCATTGATTTTTGCCAAGAACACAATATGTAAGTAAGAAACACATACTATAAGCTACATTTTCACAGGCTACATACCTGGAGAGCCATTGGAGATACTCCAACACCTATTATAAGAAATCAGATTGATTATATTCTTATCAACAAAATATTAAGGAACTCAATCAGCAGAGTAACGACATACCCTGGAGCAGATATTAGATCTGACCACAACCCTTTAGTCGCCAACGTAAGTCAGGTTAAAACTAATACTAGAAGAACAAAGTAATAGATTCAAGAATCAAGAATGGATGACAGAAGAAATACTAGATCTTATGGAATAAAGAATACAATAAAGAGATAAGGCAGACAAATAGAGAAGAAAACATAGTGAAATAAAACAAAAAATACGAGTGGCTAAACAAGAATGGATGACGCATCAATGTTCAGAAATTGAAGAATTAGAAACGAATCATGACATGCTATAAATACACAAGAAAGTTCATGAAGTAGCTCACATGCATAAAAAGAGAAACACTAATACTCTAGTAGATAATGCAGGAAAAGATTATTTATAAAAGGGACATACTTGAAACATGGAATAACTATATTCTAATTATTATAACTATATAGCTATATATGACCAGGATGACAGGCCAAACATACAGAGCAATGTAAATTAATAACTACCTGAAAGTTTAATATCTGAAATCCTTCATGGAATAAAAGTAACCAAAATCAAGAAAGCAATTGAACCGGACAAAATTCTAGCTAAACTCTTAAAAATGATCTAAGAGGACCAGATCTGTGTTCCAGTTAAGCTTTTTGTCTGTGTATAATACTGGTGAAATGCTTGAGGAGTGGTTTAAGTCTGTTTTTATAGCAATTCTGAGGAAGCAGCGAGCAAAATATCCAAGGAGTATAGGTTAATTAGTCTAATCAGCCACACATTAAAAATCTTCGCATCGCATTATTCATGGAAGAATAAAAAGCCATTGGTAAAGAGACCTAGATGAAGCGAAGTTTGAATTTACGAATACGCTGAATATCCGTGGGGCACTTTTTAGCTTAAATGCACTCCTCCGAAAATGCCGCGACTAATGTAAAGATATATACATGGCTTTCATCGATTACGAAAAGGCTTTCGATAAGGTACAGCATGGAATGATTTTGAACACATTAGAACCAAAGGCGTTGATAGTAAAAAACTTGTATTGGAAGCATAAAGCAGTCGTACGAGTCGATAAGACATTATCCAACAAATGTTACATGCAGAGTCCTTAGACAGCAATGCTTTGTCTTAACTAGCATTGTAAGATAAGGACTTTAAAGGAAAAATCAGTGGTGAACTGATTAATAATTCTAAGATATGTTGAAGCCACTGTTATCTAAAGTGAGTGTTTCCATGGCGCTCAATAGGAGAAATAAGCCTAAAAATGAATACTTCCAAAACAAAATTTATGATATTTAGTTGCCTCACTATAATGCTTTCCTACAGATAGATCAACAACACATTGAGATAGTTACTGAATTTAAATATCTGAGATACTACGTTACAGACTAACTAAAAACCAGTCAGATGCAGAATTAAAGTCGCTTACACAATGTTTCTAAAAATGAAATCATTCTTCTGTTACTACAGCCTAAACCTTAAATTAGGTCAAAGAGTAATGAAATACTATATTTGGTCAGTGTTAATATATAGCGCCGAGACCTGCCGAAACTTCAGGCGTTTGAATTATGGTTATACAGAAGAATCCTGAAGATACCATGGACAGACAAAGTCACCAATGAAGAAGTACTGCGTAGGATGAACACAACCGCGGATTTGGCCAACATTGTGAAGAGCCGTAAGCTGGAGTACTTGGGACATATAATGAGAAATCAAGGCAGATACGAGCTACTCCAATGCATTTTGCAGGGTAAAATTGAAGGAAAAAGAGCCCCAGGACGAAGAAGAATATCCTGGCTTGCTAACCTGAGAGCATGGTATAGAAAGACCTCAACACAGCTATTTCGTATAACAACCAACAAAATCATCATAGCCAGAATGATCGCCAACGTTCGGAACGGACAGGCACCCTAAGAAGAAGAAGAAGAGACCTGCTCTAATATTATTCCTAACAAATTATAATTTTTAAGTAATGTTAGTCAAATTTTTTTTACGCTGTAACCACCAGGGTTATTAGCGACCTAAATGTAAAATACAGGTAAAGTTAAAAAAAATTACAATAAATGATATAGTCCTGAGTAGTCATATTTTTATATTTCTTATTGTGTAATTAAAAATGTTTCTAATTAAGAATCGGAGACGCCCTAACTGGGTCAAGTTTAGTAAGTACAAAACTTGAGCAAACACTTCATTTTTGCATAGTTGCAAGTAATCCAAGCGTGGCAGCCTTGCCTATATATACACAATATTGTTTGGTCACTTGGTAATGCAAGGACTAATATAAAAATGGTAAACAATAA